GTTCCCCTCCCCCAAGTCACCAGTAAAATCTTAAAAAAAAACACCCAAAAACATAAAGTAAATGAACCTCTGAATTTGGAGGCAGTGGCAGTTGTGTCTGCCCTGTATCCACCAGTTGTCTGAGCCTTGGCCAAGACTGTTAGAGCCCCCTCTTGACTGTCCATCTCTAAAGAAAATGAAAAACGGTCGTTTCTTCCAGCCCCCTCATCTTCAGTCTCTGGGGAAAGAGGACTATTAGTCTAGTCGGCCTGGGCTTTTTTCTTCTGTACTTTTATCCAACAGGATGACTACTCAATTCGGATTGTTCTCCAGGTCAGCTGATAAAATGTCCATATCTCATAGATGATTGTGTCTACTCTTTCCCAGATCTTAGCAATTTGGCCTTTCCACAAAAATGGAGGGTTTTTCTTTTTTCTGGTATCTGCCATCCCTCCATCCCCACTCCATGTTGAAGCGTATTCACTCCCCTGCCTGTGGTGATACAGGCATTACCTCAGAGTCGGTTGGGTTCCAGACCTCTGCAATAAAGCAAATATCACAAAGTGAGTTATGAATTTTTTGGCTTCCTAGTACATGTAAAAGTTATGTACACTATACTGTAGTCTATGAAGTGTTCAATAGCATTATGTCAAAACATATATACCATAATGAATAAATACTTGACTGCTAAAAAATACTAACAATCTGAGCTTTCAGCAAAATTGTAATCTTTTTGCTAGTAGAGGGTCTTGCCTTGTTGATGAAAACTCAATATCTGCAAAGTGCAATAAAATGAGGTATGCCTGTATATCTATTCACACTCTCATCTTGGTGTGCACGTCATCTTATATATGGTGGGTTTACTTTTGTCAAAGGGAAAGAATGGAGCACGGTATCCTCTGCTAAACCAGTTTTGTTCATGAGTGTTCTTAGTGCCAGTACCCTAGAAGCCAGTGATTTGGCCAACACTTTTAATTGTCCTGTGGTAGTCGTTATTACTGTTTAGCAAGTATTTCCAACTTCCAACCTTTTGGCGCTTGGTCCTTTGTGGTCAGCTGGGCTTATGTGACTATCTTTGGGTAGCATAGTACTCAAAAATTTAGTTGTTTTTTTTTTTTATCTCTGATTTCAGGCAGTTTCATGTGCCAGTAGCTGTCCTTTTCTAGATGTATTTCTTAAATTTGATGTATTTTCTCATCCAGATGCCTCTCTGACTAGTTTGAGGGTATTCTAAACTTTCAACTAGAGAGCTAAACCTTAAGTCCCTTCCCCAAGCAGTTTAATTGAAATGGTTTACTGGGGGCTACAACCTTAACAAGTTCTTTGTCCTAAGACAATTTAATCTACTGGGAGGTTTCAACAACAGATGTGATGGCTATACCAATGTTTTGATCATTCCTATGAGTAAGATGACCAAGTGTCTCTGTTTGCCTGGCAGGGGGATTATCTGGGATGCAGAACTTGGGGTGCTAAAACTGGGACAGTTGTGGGCAAACCAGGACAGTCACCCTACCTACACAGCTGAATTTGCATGGGTGTTTGTCCTCCCAAACATTTCTCCATTTTATCTATTGCCATTTAGGAATGAGAAGCCGTTGCTCCTGTGAACCTGCAAGTTCGCTGGTTTCTGTAGTTTTTCTAGATCCCCTTATGCCTGCTTGTGAGCTGGCCAGTTTCCTTCTTAGCTCATCTTGGAGTGCTTTGTCAATGGCAACAGTATTGAATTCATGTTGCTAAATTCCGTTCTCTGACTCTCTCCCAACTTATTATTTAAATTAAAGTATGTCTTCTAAGTTACTGGAGGCAGCGGTTTTACCAAATACTCTGCTACTGTATAACACGGGTTACCATCCAGCCTCCAATAAGAGCTCTTTGCTGCCTTCCAAATAAGTTAATGTCACATATACTAGGGTTTTTGTTTTGTTTTATTTAATATGCAACACTGCCCCCTGGATTCCAATTTCCATATCAGTCAAGGACTCATTAGGTTAAGTGATATTGCAGCAACAACTCTAACATCTCAGTAGCTTAAAACAATTGCCTAAGGATGGCCTCCTAGGAAGCAGAACAGGGGCCTAATCAAGGGAATTCCTTTCGCTTTCTTCACATCTGCTCAGTGGAACATCACAATCGCTAGTCTGCTGTGTTTCCCAGTCTTGCCCCTTTCCTCTTATTGCATTTATGCTGTCTCTATTCCACCATTGTATGTCAGATGTGTGGGGGCACATGGCTTGTCTTTTTAGTTTATAGATCTCCATCTCAAGCTATATCTGAAACTGGTATAGAAACTATTGTGCATCATTCAGATTCTTCTTTTAAAAAAAAAAAGAAAGAAAAGAAAAGAGGGCCAGCCGAGTGGCACGATGGTTGGGAGCTGGCTTGGGACGCCAGAGGGCCCCGGTTCGGATCCCACATATGAGAGCCAGTAATGCTGCCCTCTACAGCTAAGATGCTGAACAACAGCTCAACCTGGAGCTGAGCTGCCATGAGTCGCCGGCAACGGTGTAGGCTGCAGCCCCTGCTGCAGTGGGTTGCCATGGGCTACCATGTGTAGCCAGCAGCCAGCGTGAGTGGCCAGCAG